ATTACATGCCCGCTTGTGGATATGAATTTTATCTTCTCGTGTTCAACTCAATATCTCACTCATTCGCTGCGTTCACTCGTGAGATATCGAGTTGAACACTCGAAGATAAAAGGTGTGTCCACACATGGGCATGTAATATCCTCTATTTCCATTCTATTTTACTCTTGAAAGCGTAAGTCGAGGGAACTTGTGAGTTGAATCTTCTGCTGCAGTATTCCTATCGATATGCCTCAAGATATAGCTCCAAAAATATTTGAAAGAAGTGTCTCAAGTGCTTCTTTTTGCCAAATTTTTACTCTCAATCGATAGGAAAATGCTTACCTAATTATTTCTTGTTGATTCTGAGTTAGGTTAAGACAGAGAAATGGCTTTTTGTGTTTTAGTGGATGTTATGAAATGGCCATAAATCCTACAGTTATATGTAAACAGTACCCCAGCACAGAAAAAATATTGAAGTCCCTAAACATTTTATGGCTTTTTTGAGAACTTTATTGATTACTCTCACTATCCATGTTAGAATAATGTGTATTTGGTTTTGCCTACTGCAGATATTTCCCATTAATTAAAGGCTATTCACAACACTACAAAATATGCGCCTTACTTATGATGAAGCCACAGACAGAAATCAAATTGCCCAGTTGAAATGAATATCAGACTAAAAGCACAGATTCTGTGCTTTTAGTCTGATAGTTGTACAATATGATCCAGTGGATTTCATTTTCACATGGTTTTTCTCATTGTAGAAATACTAAACCAGATATGGCTAATTAAATATGCAGAAATTAGTGTCAAATTGCCATTTAGGGTCCCCCTAACTTGAAGGGAATAAAATATTTTGACCTACTGTTTTGCCACAATCAATCACTCATCAAACCCAGCATTTGCACCGAGTTTGAGCGCAATTGGTGATTTGAGCTGTATCACCTCCTGCCCAGTTCTGCCTGGTTCTGCCTGGTTTTCTCGTGGACACATTCTTAATTCTGTTTAACTACGGAAAGCATGTTTCAATAGTTCTGACTCTTTTTGGAAGAATATTTCGCTCCCGTAAGAATTTGACATTAGAAATCTGTGGAAATATATGTGTGTTTCATGGAGTTCAGTTCTTGTCATGATACAATAATTTTGTCACTGCCTTCTCGTGAGTGCAAAGTCCAAGGCCGGCTTGTTGTTGTATGTTTTTTAATCTCCTTATATATTAAAGAGATTTCTAGAAAAGGTTGCTGTAGTCATCGTTGTTTAGTAAATATGCCTGTGGTTAAGTGGTTGGTACAGAAATGTACAAATACAACTTACATGTTAGGTTAAGTTTAATTTGTATAGGTAATCATACTGTTTTGAGTTCAGTTTGGAATTAATTTGCACGAGTAAGTTTTTCAAAAGCTGAAATTGCATGAGCCGCTTCAGCAAGTGCAATTTCAGCTTTTTGAAAAACTCACAAGTGCAAATTAATTCTAAATTGAACAAGAAAAACTGTACGATTACTTAACTTTTTTCAGTTTCCACGCAAAATTTTCGTCATCGTTTTACGCGATACCATTGGCTTGGAAAATTTCCTATTGTCTTTCAGCCAATCATAATCCAGAATTAAGATGTGTAGTTTGCACAGGTATTACACCTTTTGCACTGGAGTTACACTGTTTGCTCTGGTGTTACACTTGAACTGCACCGCTCATGGATATTATTACACAAGGTAATTGCCCAGTGAGCGAATTCTTGTTTATTACATAGTGGTCAAACTATAGTTAAATAATTGATTTAGAAAGCTACTCTAGCTTACTCTTAAACCCGAAAATTAAGAAATTTTGGATATTTTTGGTTTCTTTGTTCAAGCAGTACGGTTACATGTAATAGAAATCTTCAAGGGCTTAAATATCTTGAGTAATCAGTATTTGCCCGTGCCATGCTTCTGACTCGATAATGTCCGTTTGGATCCAGATGAGCCATTTCACCTAACCAGTTAACATTAAGACAAAAGCAAGGAGTTTAAATTGCTTTTCTCTAGCAGTTATGCCCAGAGAATTCCCTTCCATGGCATGAAATTCATCTTCATCAGTTCTAAGGCACATAAGGCCAAAATGGCACAAAATAGCATAAAATTGGCTAAGTCAAAAATTGAGACTCAATTTTCGGGTTTTTGTCTAGGCCACACTTTTCGCCCCGGACCACATGACCCGAAACGATTGACCATGGCGAAATATAATTTGAGGTCTAGGAACTATGCAAAGTTTTACCTGCTCTTTCTAGACTTCACCATGTGAAGTCCCTACCCTTTTATGTAGCCCTAGCTCTAAAATGATACCCCTTTCGGGCAGGGCCTCCTGCTATAGTCCATTATAGGAAGTGCCCCCTGGTACTACTTTCCTCTCCATGTTGTTTTGAACTGTATACAATTAAACCCCAATTCAAGGTATGGTTGAATGCTTTTATTTTATCAAAATGCGTGGATTTAAACTGTAGCTCGGACAAAATGACTCAGCTAAAGCAAATTTACGCCTGCAAAACGCAAGTAAGACTGAGGCAACATCTATGAAGGTGTTTCAACTAGAGTTTGCCTCATAATGGAATCTAAGAATTTTGGAGTTAACTAAAAATTTTATACTGTACTACTGTAAATACTTCAGACACTTTTTTTAACAGTTTTATTTTTGAACACTATTTTTTGTACGAAATTAAAATAGTCGGAAACTTTTTGCAATGCAATGTAATGTAGTTGGCAACAAGAAAACTGGGTAGAGCGGGCATAATTTAGCCCCGAAAACTCTTTCAAGATGGCTTAAAGGTTGTAAAAAGTGAAAGCACAGAAAGTTCTTTATCACTTCTCGGCAGTATTGCCTATCTGGGATTCTGTTGAAGTGAGCTCTTCAAATCGTCTTTTCCGTACATTGAAGTTTGTCATTTCCATGCCTGTCACTTGAATATCATGAGCTGAACTTTGATGGTTTTCCTGAGCCTGCGGACTATCTCTCCTTTCACAGTGTTTGCGTACTTTGTAGTTAGTAAAACAGTCACGTACTCCATCAGCCTATAAAACACAAAAGAAGAGCATGGTATGTAAAAAAAATAGTTACCAAGATCACAACATGGCTGCAGGTGTATCTCCCTCAAAGTAAGGGAGAATTATGTATAGAGGGAGGAATATAAAGGTTTACAATCAAAATGTTCAACTCTCCACAATGCATGCGTTTTTCTTGCATAGTAAGTTAGTTGGGAAATCTGGCTGAAGAAATCTCAATATCTGTTAAGAAAAGGAGGTATACTCTACCGTGATTTGAAACGCAACTGTCATTTGCTGTCGAGAAGGTGACTTGTACAAGTTTGCAAATCTGTTGATGAAATAAAAATCAATACTGTTTGGACAGAAAATGATATGCCAATGCAGAAGTTAAGTTAAGAAAAGTTGAAAAGAGTTATGCTTCTATTCAACTCCTAAAGGAAGTACACTGTTGACAGTCTTTCTATTGGTTTCTCAGACATTTATAGAGTGTGTGAGCTGTGATATCCTTTGGCCCCATTTGGGAGATCTTGCACTTTTCTCAATCTTCTGAGAAAACTATGAGGAATGAGTACAAAGAGAGCACATTAGTTTGCACTGGTAGTTTAAAGACACTGACGACCCTACAGGAAACTGGTATATCTTTAAAATGACTGTAAGCATGGTTGCGATCGTTGAGCAAAAACTGAAAACGCCCGAGTCACTTAAAAAACGATAACGCTGTTTATGTTTTTCTGTTTCGTGGTTCACACTAGCCATCCTGCTCTAGGCGTGTGGGATAGTTGGGATGCAGCGAGTGGAAAACAAGGCAGGGGATCGGGAAGGGATGAAAGAGTTTCTGTTCCTAATCCCAAAGCCCCATTGTCACTCTGCGGTTCTTTGCACTGCTCCCCGACTGAAGTGAACGCCTGAAGACAGTGTAGATTTCAACTGACCTGTCACCACTAACTATCCATAAAAATAATTACAGAGAAGTGTTTGCTATGCATACCTCTGATTGTCCTCCCAGTACAACACAATCCGAATGGTACTAGCATGGCCCCAGCTTTCACCTGCAGCACAAAAACCACAAACAAAAATATGATCACACTTCCACTGAGATAGGGAAATTGGAGTATTACTCATGGCAAATTGGGAAATTAAAAATTGCACTTGCAGAATCATTGTTGGTGACAAGGGTCACCTGAATGACAGGACAGGAAAAATGCAGGTCTGATTGCCTAGGGCAGGTAAATTTTGCCCTTGGGCAAGTGAAAATGGAAGCTTGGTGGTCCAGTGGGCAAGTGAAATTAGCCTCAGTAGTCTTGTTAGTGATAATTTCCAATCAAAAACAACTTGAAAACTGTAAGACTGCAAGATGAGCAAAACAATGAGTAGTCCAAGTCCAAGCATACTTTGCTCACGTAAGTCGCATTTGTCCTCTGATGCCATGTTGGCTGCCATATTAGATGCTGCGTAAAACAGAAGTGTGGAACTACAAATGAAGCATTTGGTCGATTGGAGATGGTGACAAAAAACACAAACATTCTGCGTTTCCATTCATCATTGTCCAATTCAAGTAGAGGTAGTTGATACAGCATGAACATTGCGCCCCTATTGGGCAAGTAATATTTTAGTGGGGAAAACTGGAAACTAAAATGTATCGGCCCACTGGGCAACTGAATTTCAATTTTTTTTCCTGCCCTGAATGAGCAAAGGAGCAGGAAGCAAAACACATTGCACAAACCAAGAACTATCCCAGGGGAAACAAATGCTTCAAACAAGTGATCTTATACTTGAGAAAGGACATTCCCATCCAAACCTGGAAACTTGTGAACTTTTTTTCACAAACAGGAAAACACTTCAGGGCTCGAAAAAACCCCCGTCCAGTCGTCCGGGACAAGTAGATTTTTCCTTCGGACAAGAAACTTTTTCTCCTTGCTTGCCCCATGGGTAAGGACCCAGGCAAGCCGTTCGCCAACTAAATTTTTGATAACGATTTTGAGAGGAAAAGGTAAATTTTAGGCTCGAGGGTAATCAATACAAGTGTTTAGATGAAGCTTGACGAAAATTACAATTTATAGCGTTGTTTTGTTGATT